CGATTATTTTTTGGAGTCTGTGACGCCATACACTCAACATCGAACATCGCTCCATACATTTCTTTGTAGTTTATGATCAAAATATCAGTAGTAAAGGGAGAAAGAAATACCCAAACACCCCAAAATATAWATTATAGTCACAAGTAATGTGAAATRAGCACATTAGCCACCCTTTGRGCTTCATAGGAATAAAATAAATTAAGGATTTATATACAAAGAAATATATGTAGCAATGTTTGATGTTGAGTGTATGACGTCACAGACTCCAAAAAATAATCGTAAAAATATCATACTTTCGTACTGAATATCGAGAAAAAACTTCATACAGTGATTATTGGACCTTTAACGAGTATTTTTAGGAAGTTTCAGCTGAATCCAAGTTTGAGCGATTTTCGTCGTAGTAGCACTTTAAGATATGCACATCTGCCATCTCCTACGTAACAAGTGGTTATTTTGATCCGATGGCGCGAGACAAATCCACTGTCACAAACTGATGTAGTGTTTGTTTGAGACAAGAGACAAGAGACAACGATTTGCGAATATTTTTTTTACAACGCAGTGGCCGAATTCGAAGGCCTGGAATAACAACTCGCGGGATGCTTGCAATAACGAGGAATCTAAATCTTTGTTCTCGTAAAAAGATCCTATCGTCCAGAACACCAGAAAATTTGACAAGTGACGACAAAAATGGAAGGCTCAAGGTGTTTTGGCCACACCATCGTGGCTCCCTGCAGCTTCCGTCTCCAAACAAATGCTTAATGCATTTTTCTTGAATGTTTTTTGCTAAAACCTCAAATTTTAAAAAGCTACAGGTCACTTGGATTTCATTTGATTCGTCTAAACTTTGAAGAGTTTATAAAGTAACTCATGATCCAAAAAAAAGGTATCTCCGATTTTCAAAATTTAATTTCTTTCCAAAGTTATGACGCTTTTTACTCTAAACAACTCTCCTAAAGCAATCGCCGAACGTTGATCAAAAATTAGCGAGAGATATAAAAAAGGTATCGAAAATACAGACACCCTGTTTGAGCTTTTTATCTCCTGAGTATGTTAAGCCATTTTTCGCAAACATAGCTTAAAATGTACGTGCCCGTTCATACCGGCACAAATTGTAAGTACTGATGTACGTGTTTTGACATAGTAGATTTAATTTACGCATAGTTATTTTATTGTTGATAGTTTCACCGCTTTTAAGATAACCTCAAGTCTGCGGGTCTACACTAAGTCGTTATGTGAATGTTTTTACGCTTAAATGGACTATTAAAGCGAAGTCATAAATKTGTCACGTATTGCATCTAAACAATAACTATAACTTACGTTTAGCCAAAACTCTCCCAACGATTTTACCAGAAACATTCCTTGTCATGCTACTGATACATGCTTCTCCAATGACATCAAACATCTGAAATAGTTTGTTTTAAGTTAAGCTAGTGGTCTTTTTGTCAGTAGTCAAGCAAAGCAACCGACGGCTTCCAGGGGGTAATCTGGGCGCGAATCACGTTTAATATGTTATAATAATAGGGTGGATACTCGGTGGGTACCCTGTTGTTTATCTCAGAGCTGAGTTAAAAAATGTACCAAAGAACGCGAGTATTCTTTACTATATATAATTCAAAATACAAACATATATTTTATTGCTTGAACATAAAACCAAAATATAACGAAAAAAGCTTTTTGTCGACCGCTGAAACAATGGAATCAAACTCTCACTAACATGTGATGTTTCTGAGTCCAGAAACGAACCCGGTACTAACGGAGAGGGGAGAGATGAGAAGCGAGTGCACTACTTAATATAGAGAAGTGGGTAAGGCTTTAAAAATTTTTTTCGTGTTTAGGAAGAGTAACTATGAACACCCAGTACTGAAGCATATCGACATATCTTTGAGAGGGGAGGAGGGGGTATATTTACAGGTACCCACCACAAAATTAATAAAAACAAGTCCCTATTTTGGTGCATTGTTTTAAATTGCCCCTTAAGCTTATTAGCCAAGAAGGAGGAAAAAACTGGTTGGAGTTGGTAATGCAAAGCATTTGCGGGACTGTTTTTTAGGGACGAAATAGACGCCATCATGGAAATGTGTCCCYCAAAAAATATCATAATGCATTCAGTGCTATTTCGATCCAATTAGATTCAATTAGACGCAATTTTTTCTTCAACCTCGGAATGGCTAAAAGAATCAGTTTGGAAGTTTCTTACCCGTATATTATAAACTTGAGGTGTAAGAGGAACACTGTACGTTACATCAAACTGATGGTACTGGCAGTCGTAAAGTACCGCTGGAACAACACACTTGACCTCGTCAAACACTTCGACGTAGATTTGTCTTGTACATCCGGGACATGAGATGGCGTGTTCGCAATATCGATAAGAACCTTTTGGAATGAACGAAAAAGTTATGATTTTTTTTTTGACCAGTTCTGTTTCCCTCTCAACCTTTCTGTTCAGTTTAGTTTAGTGTATTTAACATATTAACATATYTTAGTATAATTTTAGACTTGAATATATAGAGTTTCTTGAGCTGTGATCGGTCGAGCGACCGATGATTCGAAGACGATAATCACTGCTAGAGCGGTGATTATGAGGTTTTTCAAAGTTTTCCAGATGGGATGCAATCCTAAAACGTTTTTTTTATCCTGCATTTCGTCTTTTTACTGATATCCAAATCTAAGATTATRCTAAAAGAATATTCCCCTCAGGCTCAGTTATTATGGTGATATTTATCTCCCCACACTCATCATTTCTAATCAACCAACATCGAAGGGACTTAAAAGAACCACTGAGGACGTAAAGAAACCCTGTCAGTGACCACCCTCAGTGACTACATTTCATACTAACCATCTCTCATGCTTGTAAATTGCATAAAAGGAATCTGTCATTCACAACTCAATGTAAAGCACCTTTGATTATATCCATATAGGAAGGGAGCTATATAAATCATAAATCATATTTCAAACTATATGCACATAGACCTTAATTACAGAAACTACATTTCTTTTGTACGATAATCCGAATATTTTAACATTTTTTTAACAAATTTGTTTCCCAGTTAATCACGTCCTCTTGCCATAAAAATTCCCAAACCTAAATTAAAGACAATATTTTTCAAAGGTTTGATCGAAAAATGAAGTAAATCTCCTCTTCAGGAAATTCAGCGARAAGTTTGATATGAAACCGGCCATCTTCAAACCARAGTCAKAATTCCAAATATGGTTTCAAAACTGCTAATTTGAATATTTGAATATTCCGGCTCATGGTTATAGTGTTACAAGTTTTTACTCCATTATAGACCCCTTGCATTAAATCCCTACCTACGGGACGACTGCGGGACATCATTGAACATGTAGAGAATTCTATTGTTTTGACCCCCAGTTTGAGTTGTTTTGACGTCACATGCAAGGGTCAATAGGCCTGATGGGAAGAAAAGGCTGTATTTTTGTCAGTCTGAGATAAAAATGGCCATTTTTTCAAGCGCAAATCAGTAACCAATTTTTACTATAAATGCCGATTTTTAAAATTGGAAGTGTAAGGTTCGAAACTAAAGTTGAAGTTAAAGTGAAAGAATCGCTCAACACGTACCTGTTATGTTAACGACTGAAGAAATCGGTGCGTTGATTTCTAAAGGTCCCACAAGTGCAAATGACGGGTTATCTGCTGGTTATTAGAGGAAGATATTAGTTATTTAAAGTCTCGGTTGGGTAGTAAATTTGTAGCTGATAGAAGATCTAGAACCATGCAGCATTGAAGATTAGAACAGTTCTCGTATATAACTGTGAAATGCTCACGGCACGAACGCGGTCGTGACACTGCAAGGTGGTGGCAAGATAATTTACTATATCCATCCAATCCAAAGCCCGAAATACGTCATGAAACCGGCGGACGCGCGGTCACGTCAATGTCAAAGTACTACCAGATMAATCGCGTGACAAAAATATACGTCATTCAAAATTCTAGAAATTAAAACATCACGGTCACGACAAGCTTACGGCACCGACGTTTTTACAATCATACGAAAACTGCGCACGTTATTGCGCCAAAAAGACGTGCAAATGTTGTAGGACAGTTACCTTTAAAGCATCCAAAAAGCTCTATTTTTAAGCATATTCCATTTGAAGAACTGGCTTCTAACGGATAGACTCGAATGAATCTTGACTCAATAGATGGATTGATAGGGCTAACAACTACAGATGTACYGTCTGTATTGCCATCCATTATCTAAAAAAAAAAAAGACAATTAAACTCTTACAAAACCAGCAAAAATTATAACCAGTGACCAACGCTTCGAAGCCGAAGTTCCGATAATGATGATCTTGGTAATGGCGTCTATATGACTACAATGAAACGTCGTTACATTCCCGACTATAGTTTTTGTATCGTAAGTTATTATCTGATTGATAGAAATGGAAAGCTAGTTTTAATGGCTCTTTGACGGCTATTGTCTGTTCTGGACCCATATTGAGTATCTGGCTGTATAGCATTGGTTTTGATKCCTGGATCTGCACCAGCCATCTAATATGACCAACTTGTTTTTGTTTTGTGTGTTGCTATGTTTTTTGTTTGTTTGTTTGTATTTTGTTTTGTTTTGTTGTTGTTTTCTTTTGTTTGCTTACGTTTTTATGTGCCAAATGGCTGCGACTGAATTGTCAACTTCATTTCTTTTACTAATATAATCAGAGTAGAGTATATCATTGTATTTGGCGGGAGCCTTGACGACAAAACGCGTGCGCCACTAGTTCTTTATAAGCATTAGRTTAGTTTACATCTTCTGGCGTCATATAATCATTTACCCTCAGATCGTCATCCCATGTGTGATTCATCCATCTCAACCCTTCTTGACTGTACGCAAGGTAGAATCGTTTAGTCCAGAAAAACCCAACCAATCCCTGAGTAGCAATGCCAGTGAATATGGTAGGTTCTCCTAAGTCAACCTGTAAGTATTCTGGCTGTGTATACAGTGCTACGCACCAAGCAGCATTATGGTTAGGCCCAATCCTGGCTTTCTCWGCCGAATAGGGGGCACTATGAGATGATGAAGCAGAAAAACGATTGTCTGGAAGCCGCTCATCGACTCCGAGTGGACCAAAGCAGGCTGAAATCATCAAGTTCAATGTTAATTAATATGTTTAAGGAAAGTAAAAAAGTTTGGTCGATCTAAGTCAGGGCACGGCTAACTCACAGACTGAACCCTGAAACAACCTCTGGGCTGATCTAAGTCAGAGCACTACTAACTCACAGACTGAACCCTGAAACAACCTCTTGGCTGATCTAAGTCAGGGCACTACTAACTCACAGACTGAACCCTGAAACAACCTC